TCCATAACTCTTCCTGAAACTGTTTTTAAACACATTAGCACGTTGTATAATAATTTTAAATGGAAAAAAAAAATTGACACTTGAAAATAATTTGTTTTGCCTGTTTTTTTTGTTATTACATTGTTTCACTGATATGCACAAAAAATTTCATCAAGATATGTTGGCTAGTTCAAGAGATATAGCGTTCTACGCAGGTATAAGTTTTGAAAAAAATCGCTCAAAAATTTGAGGATGCTGTCACAAAAATCTTCATAACTTGAAAAATAATTGAAATTTTTTTATAAAAATTTTATTTTGTCGATGAAATACATTGAGGTACTTACTGTTCAAATTTTAAAAAAATCGGAGATGGTCGGGCATGGACTTTTTTTTAAATCGTTCAAGTTGACGGAGAATGACCCATATATGTATGTATAATTGATGCATTTCTAGCTGAACTGACAATTTCAATGCAGGATTGGAGCAACAAAAATAAATTTTCATCGCTGATGAACGACAACGACGATGAAGATGACGATGCTGACGACGACGAAGATGCGAAGAAATCCATCGAGGACGAGCAGGATGATGGCATTGGAGACAAAGATGTTGACGACGACGGTGATGATGGTGGTTGTGAGCGTGAAACAATGTCAGACTTCAGTAAAAAGTCTGAACTGCAAGAGTGTGTTTAATTTATTGATTGCTTTAATGATGAATGAATGATTTAATTAATTCGTTAATTATCTTTTAATAATTAATCTATCTTCGACTAACAGTATGAATTTCATTTGTTCATCAGTTTGAAAGCCATCATCCTCATTGTCATCCTTCATCTTCGCCATTGTCTTCTTCATCCTCATTGTCATTATCAACATAATCATTTAAAATTTCAATTATTATGTTCTTGAAGTTAGCATTTCACCTATACAATCGTTATTAATTTATATTTATTTAAAGTGTTTTTAAACTTAAAATAAATAATGGAACACATTTGTTATATTAAGTTTCAAACATTTTAATTCCCTTAAGAATTATAGCTGGTATGTAGTTGGGAATACTGTTGACTGTTTTACTTCCCCAATGATTTTAAATTTTCAATACGTGTTTAAATGCTTTAAAGTGTGTTGTTTCATTACAAGTAGTTCGTCAATTTACAGTCTCTGTAATATGGATGCTGCTCTCCATTGGTTGATTGGGTTTATTACCTTATTGCAAACTTTCAATCCCAGTTTGTCGGCACGTCCTATTTTTCGCTGTGCGAGTTTGCTGGTTGCTGCTGTTGCAACTTGTGAGTTCACTCAACAACTTGCTCCTGGTATACTGTTGCGTGTATGTTATTAGCTGTTGATGCTTTGAAGGTTGTGCAGTGCATGGTGGTTCCAGCTACGTCGTCCTCTTGTTTTTCTTCTCTTTAACAAATTTTAGTAAACTTTAATAATCTGCTCTTATAAACTTTCAATATTTTTTGTTAACTGATAGTGTTATTTTCATTTATTATTTTTGGTATTATTATTATCTTACCATTTATCTCAAAGAGATGGAGGACATTGTTAATTATATTTTGTATGTTTGCATTGGTTAGCCAGTTTTTAAAAAAAATTTGGGCTTGGGTTTATGATAGTTATAAATAATTTTATTTTCATGAATTAAACATTTACTACTTCTAGACGTTAACGATATTTTCAGTATTTTAAAATATCGCATATGTATATTTATATAGAGAAAGGTGTTGTATATATTGCATGAGTATGAGCGTTAGAAAGTATTCTTATTTATATACATACAGTTTATATATATATATATATATATATATATATATATATATTTGCATAGAATTCTTTCACACGGATTTAGATTGTTGAATAAATCGTTCTTATCCATTTAAATCAATCTAACCACCTTATCTAATGAAAAACTCTGAAATTTGCATCAGCCAGCCAGTTGTTTCAGATGTTATTTTACAACCACTTCATATTATAAAGAATTATTTTGTAAACATTTGTTGTTTATCGCATTTAGTTAATCAATTAAAATTAAATATTTTAAATGCTATCAAATTAATTTTTTGGCACAAAAAATGCCATGTAAGCTCGATTGCCCTTAGGGAGAACTAATGTCATGTTTGAATTCGTGACATTGAGTTAAAATAAATTCAGCTCAAAATAACTTGCATAATCCTGGCGCCAAAAAAGCCGTTCAATTGAATTGAAAAATAGATTGAAAAAGTTGAAAATATTAAATAGAAGAATTGTGCCTTTAAAAATATGAAAAGTTTGTATGGATAATTGGAGACGAACCAAGGGTTCAGCCCGGCTGAATATTCAGCCAAATTTGACATTAGACTTCGGCCATTTTAAGGCCGAATAGTGCAACTTTCGTTTAAGGCTTTAAGCCATCAATTTTGGATTCCAAGATTGTTGAATTTTTTTAACGGAAAATTTATTTAGCTGGTAAAAACCAGCGTGGGGCAGGAAATTTTTGTCGAGAGTCAGAGTTTTTTCAGGAGTCGGATATTTTTTTCCGACTAGGCAATGCAATATGAATTTAAAAATTTTTTGTTCTGAAAATATTTTTTCAAGATCCTTTAAAAAGTTAGTCGTGAAGCGATTTGCTGTCTTATTTTATACTGAAAATAAATTCTAATAATGTTAGCTAAGTGTTGGTCGGAATATTTTTCATCCGGCTCCAACATTCTGGTTAAAACGTCTGAATTTGAACATAGATTGAATATTATTATATTATTATTATTCTTTAAAAAATTAGGATCTGACAGACGCAGAAACTGTGACAGCTGGTGTGATCGAGGGCGAGTATAGGTATTTTATGTATATGGTTGCTTCTCGATGGAAATAATTAGTTGGTTTAAAAGTTGCTTATTTGGTCGAACGCAGCAAGTCTCATTTAAAAAACAAATGCCTTTTGTCAGTTAATTTACCTCCGGGGTCCCGTTTTTGCTGCTTTACATGTCTGTAGTTTTTAAAAAATATTCATTTTCTCAAATCACGCATATACAATGACATCCAAATAATGATTTCCAGTAAGCCGAGTTCGTTTCAAAGAAAATATCGTTATTGTTGGATTTGTTGAATGTTAACCAAAAGTTAATATATGCGTGTCCAAAAATGGGTTATAGCTAAATCAATATTATCAAAATTACCAACATGTGCTTGGCAGCAGTTGACACATTTGAAGATGAACTCAATTTTTATGAAAATAATTGATTTTTGATAATTGAATTTAAGCTTCATGTTAGACTCAAGTTGCCAGTTGAGAAAAAATTCCTCTTCAAAATTGTAATGTTTTACAAATCTTTAAATGGCTTTGCGCCAATGTATTTATCAAATAAATTGAAGACGAAATTGCCAAACGTTTGGCACTCATTTACGATCTGATGATCTCAGACGAGTCCAGAGTCACAGTTAAAGAACTAGTTCACGCAGTTTTGTCTTGTCAAGCCTATATTGAAATTGAAAGCTTAGACTGAATAGCTATTTTTTAGTTTTATTTTGATAATTTTTGTTTATTGCATTGTATGAATAATCAGCTTTGTAGAAAGCGCTCGTGACAACTTGAATAATGGGTGCTCTACAAATTTTTTATTTGATAGATTCAATGAAAGTAGTGGTTATGTAGTTATCGATATCCAAAAAATAACACCCCTAACAGCAGCGATGCTACCTCAGCTTCACTATCGGCAACCCTGATTTGATGTAGTTTGAATTAAAACTACATCCGGACATGATTTATCTGCATACATTAACATGAAAAGAAATAGTCATATCTTAATTGTATTTCCTAAACAATAAACGCAATTTTCAGAAAAAAAGGAATTCGTTACAATTACAATTCGTTACAATTATAAATGAGATAGCACTAATCAACATGTTTGTTGGGCTAACAATATCAGTGAGTTTTTTCTGAAATGATCATTGCATTCTTTCTCGCATACATATGGTTTTATAATATATCCATGTAATAAGCAGCGTACGTAGAATATATATATATATATATATATCATATTTTGAGTATAATACCAAATTATATGAAACTATTACTTAGGGTCGTCAAATTAAATGTCATATGTCGATATTAACTAGTTGTCAGAATTTTGTATTAGAATTTATTACAATTTAAAAAATTTGACCACATTTCGTTTTATTTGCCACAGTCTGGCTTGTGATCTATTAATCAGTTGCACATATTAAGAGCTTTATTAATTTTCTATTAGTTAATTGTTTTAAATATGCATCCTTAGTTTCATTCTTTTTTTAGTGACGTCATCTTCGTCTGGTATCGCGTCATACGTCGATGTATCCTTCCATTTTATCCCGTACTGTATTGCACTCCAATTTTGTTTAAAATTTTGGTGTAAAGTTGTAGGGATGGCTGCCATTAGATTTGACGTCGGGTATCAGTTTGGGAATGTTTAAGAAAAGGGTTATTGAATTATGGCTAATTATTTCGCGTAGATTTTGGTTCATTGACAGTGACAAAATCTTAAGTTTTTTCTGTTTTCGTGAATTTATTTGTCTTTTTCATTATTTTAGTAACTTTTGGAATTGTTGTTTTTTATTTGTGATTTTTTGGTTTGACCCATGGATACATATAATATCCATTATATCCATGGTTTGACCATAAAAGCCTATAATGAGCTTTTGGTCTGTGTTTTGAAATAAAAAGATTAATAAATAAAAAAATAAATAAAAAAGTGTTCGGCGTTACAAAATGCATGTGCCTTTTTTTATGTGACGTTCTCTCAAATTTCATAAATAAAAAACAATAAAATTGTCAGCAATATTTTTGGACGATATTTTGTTAACTTTGTTACTTCGTAATAAAAGAAAATAAAACTCGTGAAGTGTTGGAGAGTTGGAAAAACTTCAACAAGCATGGAGTGCAAGTTATTGTCTGTTGTGTTTGTGATGCTCATCATGATAAGTAAGTTGCTGCGATTTTATTTAATATCATCTCTAAATAAATTCATTTATCGGAATTAGATTTTCGTTGTAAATTAATGACAAAATTGGTCATTTCGTCGTCTACTAGATTACTGTTGTTATTTAATTCGCAAAAACTTTCAACCCCACTCAAGTTTTGTTACAACCGATAATGTACGTACAAGTCGGCCCTACCTTTCGAGAGTACCACGTTAATATTTTTGAATCACGTGATTGTCCGTACGGAGGCACATAATCCTATCCGAACATGTTGCGTGTATAAATTAATTTTTAATGTTTTAAATGTTATTTAAATTACCTATTTTAAAGTTTAGAAAAAAGATTTTACAACCATTTTATCATAAAGCTGAACAAAAATTTACTTTACCCAAAAAACGACAGGGTTAGGTTTCAAAACATTAAATTCCAATTGGAATCGTAAATATATTAACGTTCAGCAATTGTACGGTTTGGCATTAGTTTTTATTTGGTGGATTCGCACGTTCTCAAAAACGTACACGGTTTAAAGTTCCAGTTTCATTAAAAATCATTAGAATTGCTTCCACCAATTCACGCGGTTCTTGAATGGTACACTCGGGAGATAGTAAAGAATCATCACATTCAAATAATTATTAAATGAATACTGAAACTTGAAGAAGCTGCAGAGGCCAGGTTGTTACCTATAATCCTGTCGGTGGTCGAGTTTGTCCTGATCAACGCTGCACTCATCGTCACCATATACGCAATCATTTTTGTCTGCAAGTTGAAGGGGAAGAAAAGTTCAAAACTGATAAAGCCTATTAAACGTGAATTTAATAATTTTATAACAAATATTAATTTGTTGCTTCTGAATATTTTTTTTAAAGATTTACTGCTATTTATAAGCAGGTTTTAATTGAGGCATAATCGAGGCATTTCTGGGGTTTTGCACCTGTCTGGTGATAATTAATTTTTTTAACATGAGCTAACTTCAAACTAGATCAAAAGAAGGAAAATATACCAACACTTAGGCAACAAATACTAAAAGAACATCAGCACGCAACAAACACTAAACTGAATAATTCTAGTTTTCGCCAAAATAGTTACAGGCAAAAAGTTTTTTGAAAATTTTTATAAATGTAGATCAAATCCGCTACTTTATATAAATATAATCGTTTGGATGTGATTTTTTACAAAACATTTTGAAAAATTTATAGCTGACATGTTGGATGTAAACAATGATTTTATTTTAAACGTTTTTAGTTTTCAACATTTACCTGATAAGTGCAGTTATTTGTAAATGCCACTTTTTGTTGAAAACATGTATTATGAAGCAGATAATGAGCATAACATCATTTAAATTTAAACTATTTATGTCTAGTTTAAAATCAATTTGTAAATTTATTCTTAGCTCTTTGTATGAAGCAAAGCGCATCAACTTTTGGAGCTAGAGGCCCATTCTTACATAGAATTAAATTATTTGGTCAATTTTCAATATTTTGAGGGATAATATATTTTTTTAAAATTGTAATTATAAATTGTAACTTATTTTTGTAACATTATTAAATAAATATTTAGGTCTGGATTTGATACGACTTAATACTTTCATTTGTTCATGAATAAAATTTCTTATATTTTTCGTAAATATTCAAGGAAGCTGTTTTAAACTAACTTGCAAAAAGTGGGTAGTTGTTTAACTTAGGCACGAGCAAAAAGCCCATTTTTTAAACTTATTTTTATCTGTTGCTCTAGAAACAACCTATACGAGATAATTTAAAATAGTTGTTGTTTCACATTTAAGCATATTTGCATATGACATCAAACTTGCAAACTTGATATTTAGTAACAACAATGTTTAACTAAATTTATCTGCCAGCTGACGAACGTTAAATTAGGCTTCTTGACTCATGCCATTCTGCATTAAAGGGTATGTGTCGCGTTTAAGCATGACCTGGGCCTTAAAAGTTTAAACCTGCTGCTCTTCAATATAACTTGTTTCCTGATTTTAAATTCATTCCAAATGTACAGATTTTAAAATCAAAATGAAGTCAGCTACATTTAAACCTGGGAACGAGCTTTATTTTTTTAACAATCTTTTAAACATTTGATTTTTTAAAGTTTATATTTTAAACCAATATTTGAAATATTAACAACCTCGAATTTTAAAATTTTGATGAAATTTACATCAACGCACCACCATTTTCCCATCAGATTCCACGTGAAATGTTTGGTGGAAGAAGCATGGACATGAAAATTAAAATGCAGTCCTACTTCGTTTGACTGCTCTGTTTCTTTTATTTTTATTTGCTGTCATTTTATGTGTTTTAATTGTTTGCATGATTTCTTCAATTAAATAGTTAATTATAAATCTAGAAACAAACTTTGAATATTAATTAATTGTTTGGCGTAAATTTTATTTAAAAAAATGTTCGATAAACTTTTGTGTAAAAATTATAAAAATTTTGACAAGAAATGAGATAGTGGTCGTCAAAATGAAGTGCTGATTAAAATTAATTTAGTAAACAATTTGATTGAACGGTTATATTGGAGGAATCTTCAACGATGCTTTTTTGGAAAGATTAAATGAAAGATTTGGCTAAAAATTCTGTTTGAAGAAATCAACTCAACGTATCTGGAATATTTTTTATTTATTTCGATACAAATATTTGATAGGATTCAACAATTTTCAAGGCCAGACTTTTTTAAATGTTTATTTTTGTGACGTCAGTACAGTATTTATGTTTACATCCTATTCTGAGTAAATTCAACCGAAACTAGAAATAATTTCGCACAGAGGCAGATCACTTGCCTCGACATGTCGCTTCGTAATTTAACGAAACGTTTTCTAAGTTGTTTGTTTTTAGTGGTGCTCCGTACGTCGCCGTGCCAAGGTGAGCTTAATATTTGTTAGTCCGTTGGTGATTGGTCACCTCGTTAATGGTTAATCGTTAATGCTTAAGTAAGTACTTAAGTTCAACTTAAATTTTTTCACACAATTTTTCTGCGAGAAATTGTTGTAAAAAATGCCAAGATATATATTGTAATTTAAAAAATGAAATTTATTCAAATTTGTATTTAACGGAATTAATTTTTTCAAATTTGAAATGGACAGCGGTCCAGATGGAAGATGCAGTACTTGTTGTCAGCCACGTCCTCAAGTTCTTCGTATCAGTGATTGCTTTCTTCGTTGCACTGGCAGGAGCTCTTCATGTCAGGAATTATATCATTTCTAGCGCTAAAACAGGTCAAATTTAAAATGATTAATGATGATGAAGGGCGATAATGATTAGTGGCGTAGCCAGAAAATTGCTGTGTGGGGCTTGAATTAAAAAACAAACTGGTGACCTTCCTTTTTGGGCATCACACAATTTTTAAGCTATGTTAACACTACCACTAGTGGTTTTATACGCGATGTTACTTATTTTTATCGTTGATGGGGCTGAAATAGTTTTCAGTTCCAATTTTTCCAAATTTATATAAAAGCTTTGTCTAGCTTAGCCTTAGCCATTGCGAAACTGTCCATTGTGGGCTGAAGCCTCAATTGCCTGAGCCTCCGATGAAGATTGACGATGAAAATTGACGATGATGAACTTGAAGTTTTTACTGCGAAATCTTTTTGATATCTGATGAACTGTCATATTTGGCACTTAATGATAGTTTTGAGAGTTTGATGAGGGCTTACGCGGTCCAACAATCAAACGTTTATGTACGATCGATGAAACAAGTTTCTGAGTTGCAAAGAAACGGTGGCAAAAATGTTGAAGTCGATATAAAGTAACGATAATTTAAAAATATGTTTTAGTGAAATTAACTGTTTACAAAACGTTTTTGATGTTTACTCAGAGGGGTTCTTCGTATCTTCAGCAGATGCCATAAGTGTCTCATAATTATAGCGGTGAAGAAGCGTGATGCAAGCAGATGATTTTGAAATATCTTTATTATTGATCAATAAAACTCGAGCGTCCACCAAAACAAAAGCGCTCGCATAAAATTTTAGACATTAAAGTCCATGCGTCCTCCAGTCGCTCCGAACCAATCTATTATGTTTTGACATTCCAAATTTTCAACATGAATTTTTTTAGTTCTCAAAATTTTAAATGGAATTTTTGAAATTTGTCAGGAATGGAACTCACTCATGCAACATCAGCGGCGACTGACACCACTGCAGCTTCTTCGTGAGGTGCCGGGCGGCTCCTGAAATTGTCAACCTACCTTTTAACTTTCGAATTATTTTATAGTTTTTGTTCATTTTTGTTTAGATGTTTATACTTTTGTTTTTTATTTAATTAATTAATTTTTAATGAATGGAAAAGGTGTAGTGTTATAAATTACACATAAACACGGTCAAGATTTAAAAGTTGTACATCAAGGTATATTAAGATGTGCACATAACTGAGAAATCAAGTAGTCCTGGAGACAGTGATCAGTGGCGGGTCCGGGCAGGATAATGCGGGAATGCACCTTCCCGCCGCCAAATCATCCCCAAATCATCTCCCACCGCGAATTTCTAGATCCGCTACTGACAGTAATATCATAATTTATAATTTAGTGTTTTTATGTTATAAGTTTGTTTCCAGATTACTTATTTGAGATAATATAAAAGCTAATTGAAAAATCATTATTTCATTTTTAGACTTCAAAACAAAAATGCACACTGTTGGTGTCTCTGCATCTTTAATCATGTGGATTAACATTTGGGTGTGCTCAGTTAGGCCATCAACTTTCAAATAAAAATCTTTTTAGATATTTTTATTTATTAGTTTGTTGGTTTTTAGATAGCAATATATTCTATTGTTTATTAGAAATGAGAATATCTTGTAGAGTGTTGTTTGTAAAGTTATTAGACAAAAATTTGATGAATTATCAGAGTCACCTTTCTTTGGATTAATATAGTGATCCATTTTTCCAGCATGAAGAAATCGTAGAAGTTGACCAGCACTGACTTAGTAGTTGTAATAAAATAGTTCTAAATATGGGTGCACTTTTTAAATGGTATAAATGAAATCTGGTCTAGAGGGCAGGGCGATGATTTTGCTTTGAATTTTCTAATTATTGTTGAAATTTCGTTATAGCTAGGAGAATTTGTGTTGTATGGCGTAGACGGCTGTGAAAGTTTTTGAATCCAGTTCGGAAGTTGAAATTTGTTGTAACTGTTGTCGCTTAGGATGGTGTTGAAATATTTTTGGCAGGTTGTAGCATTGAACTTCGAACTTAGACATTCATCGCGCTAACCACCAAAATCGACGTTTGAGTTAGCATGTTGTGTCTTGTTTTCTTGAGCTAGTGGATTTTTTCGAAGACAATTTCGATCTAAGTAATTTACTTATTGAGCTTATTTTGGCATCGAAATGATGATTGTTGTGACCCAGCTGTTTAAGATGCTTCAATTCTTTTTTTTAGCAGCCTGATTGGTCGGTTATTGTTGACGTCCGATTCCTTTTTGTGTTTGATTGTATAGAGGTTTAGTTGAATAAACTAGTGAAATGTTGTTTAAAATTAAAATAAAATAAATAACGATGTAAAATTCAAATTTTAAAAATGACGACATATTCCCCACAACTCAGCAAATGTACCAAACTAATTTAAAAATAATTTAAAAGCTTTGAAACCAAAATTATGCTTAAAAAACATCGAGCTGTACGCTTTCGGCCAGCTCTCGTGTTTCGCAATATAAAACATATAATTTATAATTTAGTGTTTTTATTAATTTTTATAGAAGTTTTTCGTTGTGACGTAGAATTGTTATTGCTTTAGCTTTAGCGAACGTTAGCTTTAAATCAGGAAAACAAAATCTCTCCCAAAAGAGCAAATTGAATAGATTGTTCAACCGTTTGACGACGTTGCTTAATGGACATGCTTGTAAGGAGTTCTTGAAAAGATTTTTATTTCATTAATGTTACTACAAACTAGAATTATAAGATTTATTTTTTTTACTCTTTAATTTTATTGTGCAGTTGGGCTTTATTTGATTTATGTTACCAAAAAAGCTTTGGCGTTTTGTTTTAAATGAATAAATAAACAAATAAACTTGTAGAATTGTCGTAAAAAAATTTTTATTGGGGTAACTGGTTCAAAAACATTATTGTTCAGAGAAAGAGACCGTAAACAAAAAGGCCATGCCACGAATATATTTTCTAGATTAAAATTATGCGGAGCAATTTTTAAGTTGAACACGTTTTTCTAAAGATGCAACCGTCATTATTTTTTGTTGCAAAACTCCTCATATCATTCTGCTAGTTTTCTAAGCTGTAAAATTAAAAAAAAATTGTTCAACTTAAAAGTTTATTGCTTGATAATATAAATTAGAACAAAAGTAGCAACCCATAATGACGTAGGTGAACGAAGCCTTGTAAGCATGTTTATAACTGATGCATGTTTCTAAAAACTTTTAGCACGTTTTTATTAAAACACCGACAAAAATTAAAATGTAAAAAAACTTTAAACCAAACTCAAAAGAATCAGGTTCAGAAAAAGCCGGAACCAGGGTCTTCGAAGTTGTTAACTTTTGAAATTGTGGCTGAGTCGATGACGTTGGTGATGTCGCTACTCGCCTGTCTCTGCTCCCTCTACTCATTCTTCCTCGTCTGCTCAATCAAGAAGCACATGAAAGCATTTGGTAGGTTTCTGTTTGTAATTATTTATGACAATAAGGACGATGCTTGCTACAATGGTTTAAAAATGTTTAGTGCGTTACGTGGATAAAAGTTGAAAATTGTCGAAAACTTGCTGTTTAAGTTTATATTCAAAGTACCATGGTCACTTTGAAATGTATTTTAAATCTTGACTTTGGTTTCATTTTTGATTCGATTATTATAATTAGTTTTTTCTTTGGTTCATTTGATATAAGTAGTGCATAATATAATTAAAAATGCCGCTATTGGTTTGATGTTGCCATTTATCAATTTTTTAATTGAATAATGTTGAAATTTGCGGATTTACTGAGAATAAAATAATTGACTTCACCGCACTGAATCAATCGATTCGTCAGTTGGTACAGAAAAAAATATTTCGCACGAATTGAAGCATAAAAAATCATCTTTTGCCCATTTGTCTGCCTCTTTCAAAAACCAGCAGCCAACTTCAGGGCGTCGAATGATTTGCATTTTGAACACCCTACAGCCGGCAATCACCCCACGAAAGAGAATCTCATCGAGCACAAGCACAGTCATTCGGAGGGCTGACCTGCAAATCGGCAATATTTCAGTGGGCTTACAAATTTGGCGAAAATCTGTTGACTGCCAATTTTTCAAGTTTTTTCATGAACCAAATTTTTGTTTTTAAGATATCTGTCGTTGTCACATGTTTTTAATAAATAAGTTCTTTACTAGAACTTGCGTTTGAGCTGGTTGATGTGTTATATGAGACAAAATGTTTGAGTAGTTTTCGAACGCCATTTACAGCAGTAAACTGTACTTATTCAAACAGTACATATTCAAATAGTACTTATTCAAACTGTAGGTACTTATTCAAACTGATACTTATTAATGATACGTTACCGTATATGAAGTGTTTTTTAAAAGTGTTGAATCTTGTTAAATAAAATTTATGTTTAAAAATACATTCAGTAATAAATGAAACAACTTGCAGTTCAGATCTGCTTCACTTATCAATCAAGCATAGGTAAATAGCCATAACTCTTACTCATCAGGTCCTCGTTCAAAATATTTTATTTTATTGAACAAAGCACGGGAAACTGCCCATTACCGAATTACAGAGAAAAAAATACATTTAAACCACTATGTAAAAAAGAAATAATTCTACTATAACATATTTAAAAAACAAAAGAAAAAAGATGTCCAGATAGCATAAGATCAAAAAATATAGACATATACCCACATATATATACAGATACACATATCAATCATGTTTTGTTTTATGCATATGCATTAAAACAAACAAAAATTTTGGTTTTGAACTAAAGAAACATGAAATGATTTATGATCAAAGGAAAAATTGAAAAGTTAAATTGGAAGTTAACTAACGCCGAGCATGCTGTGAAAGTCTTAATCCAAGTCTTTCTGAAAGTCTTAATCCAACACACATGTATATATTTATATACAATAATACACCTATATATATATATATATATTTATATATATTTATATATAACCAATAAACTATAATATTCAGCGCTATACTCATTCATACTATTGTAACAGCTGATATGCTCAATCGTAACAACAGATGATTCGAAGAAAGTAGCAAAAATAGTTTATGGAGTTAGTAAAAATAAAATAATGTTATAACCGTGCTACCGAACGCACTAGATTCTAGCGTATGCTAGAATGTTCTAGTGACTGGAGCATTCCAGACTAGAGTATGCTAAAATCGGATCATCTAGAAGAATCTAGAAACGACGCTTGCGAAGAGTATATAAGCGCACGTCGCAAGAAGATTCGTGATTAGTGAAATCCGTGATTTTGTGATTTCGTGAATAGCGATTCGGTGAATTATTTAAAGCGATGTTTGATTTGTTTGTTGACGTTGTCATACGAAGGTAATGTTCGCGACGGTTTTGGTGTATCTAACAGGCGGAACCAATATTGTCAAATTGGCTGAACAGTACAAAGGTAATGTTCGCGACGGTTTTGGTGCATCTAACTGGCGGAACCAATATTGTCAAATTGGCTGAACAGTTTGAACTAATATATTTTTGTTTAATAATATTACACGGAATAATTAAAAATTCAATTTTATTATTTAAGCATCTGCGTCTCGTTAATTTTTGGAAACGATACGATATCGGCTACGATGAAGCGTATCTAACCGATATCGGCTACGATGAAGCGTATCTAACAGGCGGACTCAATCATGTCAAGTCGGCTGAACGGTTTGATCTAATAAATTTTCGTTTAATGAAAATACACGGAATTATTAAAAATTAATTTTGTTACATAAGAATTTGCGTCTCGTTATTATTTTGAAAACGATACATAACGATACGATAACAATACGATAACGAGGTATTGAAGACTATATATCGATATAATAAAATCATGTGCACATACTTGTGCACAAATTGTATGATGATTTTTGAGTTTTTGAAAGATAGTATTTGAACATCGCGCAATAACAATGACGCTTGGCACATTTACAGTCTGCCCTTAGTTGTTTTCCCGTCAACTCCGCTTTACAAAATGTACTGTATTAAAACAGAAAAAAGTTAAAGGTCAATTACACTCTTCCAAAGTTCAGAGGATTCAACAGAGTGCAAAACATCGTAAATGAACATCGTGCTAAACGACGCATTACACACGAAGCATATGATACGCGGGGATATTTTTGTCACATTCGAACCCGGTTACTGCGAAACAGCACCAGGCGA